ACAAATTGATGTATTTGCCTCGTAATTATAGCTGTCTTGAGTAGGTATTGTCTTTAAAATATTTTCTGTAAAACTAAGATCTAACAGCTTAACGACCATCTAGGTTTCTGCAATCATTCTATCCATCTTACCTGTGGTGCTAATCCTTTCCCATTCTATGTGTTTACAGTTACTGCATCTTCCACTTGAATTTTCAGCGAAGAATAATTCCAGCTGACTTGTGTGTTCCTCACTTTTTGCGATTAAAGCGTTTGTTTAGTTTTGATACTGTTACATGTCGATATTTCTCCACTTCTCCACATACAGTTGTAACGTTAAAACGTCTCACTATTTACTTATTTGATATTTACCATGGTAGCCATTTTTTTGGGTTGACAACTGGACAAGTGTAATGCATTGTGGGATACTAACCAGTGGTTAAATCACTTAACCTGTGGTTAGTTAACCAGAGGCTAATTTTATTTTGAGCAACAAATATTTGACCAGTGGTTAGTTACCCAGTGGATATAGAATTTAACCAACGGCTAACTTATCCAGTGGTCAAATTTAACCAGTGTTTTGAGCAACCCAGTCCAGAAGGATAAATGGTTTTCATATTGCCCCTCAATATTTTAATACGCGATTTTATCATGAATCTGATACATGTAATCCACTTTGACAAGGTGTCAATGTCTTCTTTTTCATATCTGGCCCATCGCCTACCGTAATCTTCAACGGAATCCATAGTATTTATGAAATTCCGACGCAAGTTGAAGGATCGGGGTTCCCTTTGTTTAGTAATTTTTACTTTGGTAGCAAAATTATCTAAAAGTAAAATTAAAATATTCAAAAAATATTTACATGTACAAACAAGGAACTGGACACATTGACAGTTCATAAAACTTATCTACCAGTATGTTTAAACGTGAAGATTAAACATATGTTTGTATCTGAAAACTTTGACAACTCCCTTTGTGTTTCCCACCCACAATTTGGATTTATTCAGTGTTAACGCGGTTGCACTTCACCCCCTGTCAGCAATAACTTCAAGAATCTCCCAGAAGGACTCAGTAAATGGACGCGATGATTTTTTGCGTCGGTAACAAGGATGTTACAATAGGCATTACATGCCACGTCATATGGATCAAAGTTCTCCTTCGGGTGGTTGTCAGTCAAGTTACATCAACGATATACACACTTTATTTGACCAGATGCAGACAAAATCGTCATAGAATTACTAAACCAGTCTAAAACACATATATCGCTGTTACCATTCTGTGTAATGCGTCTCGGGAAGCTAAAAAGTATCTCCATACAAGAATCATAAACACCGATCATTTGTTAGGGTCATATGTCTTAAGAGACTTGTAGAAGTATTCAGGAAACCAGAGCACTCTGTCAGGGCGACCAGAAGACCGCCATCCAACGACTCACAGATTCCTAGTGGTTCTAAATCTTCTGTTTTTGTGATAACAGAGACAGATCCTGAAGGAAATAGATGGTAAATACCCCAGGTAGGATAGTTCTCATTAACAGTAAAAAACACTTCACCATTCTTACAGACACATATATCACAAAGATTTATCATGAATTCTTGTTTATTCCTCCCTTTTATGTTAATTTGATTTAAAGAGTCTGATGAAAAAGACTGGATATAACAAGTGTCTTCACCACAAACCTCAAGTGTACGTACTGGATTTTCTCCATTTTGAAGAAATCATACTTCATCAGCAATGGCATCGATTGACCAAGTTTGATGCAAGTCATCAAACAATTTTCCTCCATCGTATTCTAAAGGATCTTCAGTGTCTATAATATCAGACCGTAACTGTTTCAGATTTTTCAAGTTGTCGATCAGGTGGAAATCTGACATATTTCTGCTGTTGTTCTCAATTAATTCTATGGTGTCAACAAGCTGGGATTTTTTCTTGTCCATCTGAGATTTCAGAGATTTTATTTGTTTGTTTGTTTTGCTCAAGTGGTTTTTCAGTGTTTCTTCATTGCTTTTCTTGATTTCTTTTAGCCTGCTAATCACGTTATCAAAATGCATCTGTAAAACTCTGATATCATTCTCAAACTGAATTTCATTATCCTTTTCCTGTGCTAATACTCTCTCCTTTTTCTCCTCAAACTTCGGTATGTCTTCGTCCTTTATCTCTGTTAGGTACGATAAGAGTTACGCTAGCCAGCGTGTCCCAGTTGTGATCCTTATGCTCTGATTTTGCACACTTGGAACAACTGAATTCATCACAATCCTCACAGAACATATCAATTCGTTTGCTATGTTTGTTACAAGTTGGAATGTGTTCTTGAGGAGAGCTTACAGTAGATTCTGGTGTGTTGGTCGCCTTTCCTACTTGTATTGAATTGCCATATTCTTATGAAGATTGTCGGTTATACGATTCACTAATTTGTTTGTATAGCTTAGAAAAAACTCTCAATTCTTTTTGAGAATTGCAAATGAAAATCAAAAATATAGATTTAAAACTCGAATGAGGTTGTTAGAAAATTCCAATAAACAGGAGCAGACGTCTTCTTTCCATAAATCATTCATGAATTAAATTGCTCTCTCTCTCTCTCTCTCTCTCTCTCTCATAGATTCAGATTAAACTTCATTATCCTCAAATACTGGAAAGACTGTGTAGGAATATCAATGAATTGCCTTTAAAAAAAATCACTAAAATAAAGTATTGCGGAATCAAGATACATGTATAACAAATCATGGCCACAAATGAGCACATCAAATGTACACGTATTTTTTTTTTTACCTTACTGTAAAATTAATTAGGAAGAAGATTTTAATGTTTATGAAAGCAAATAATTTTTTTTTTTAAATATCAAATTTCGTACTTTGAATATGATATAAAGAGATCAACTGTAAAAATTGTATGAGAATCCCCGTTTCTCTCCTTACTAATTATTTTTAAGTAAAAGAAAACGAACGTAACAGAAAAACTTATGATCAGTACTTCTTCCTCACAGGTAAGTTTTGTTTTATGTGTACGATATAACTAATTACTAGAATTTATTTACTAATTGATACATGTATGATCATTTTTTTTTATTTTAACAAAATAGTGTTGCCATTGCGATTATTTAGTTGCTATTTTACAGATACTATAGTCATCATGGTCAACTCTAGTCTGTTATTGTGACCTTAATTGCCCTTTTGAAGAATAAAATATCATATGATTTTGCTTTCATTTGATATCAAATTAATTCTTATTTCATGATTCCTTTTACATGATTTATAACTGGTAAAGTATCAAATTCTAAGATACCTGGTAAACAGAGCATTCTTTACCTAAACCTAACAACAATATCCTCTCTCCAGCTGAATGAAGTACAAAGTTATAAGAATCGGTCTTATCATTATCTGCTGGGTCAATGTCTCTACTCTCACCGAATCCATGTTTAAACTGTTTAAGTTTAGATAATCTATTACAAACTAAGATGTTATCTTCTATGTCAAATGAGAGCCAGTACATGTACTCGTATAAACTTTCTTGTTGTTCTAATCTACAGTAATTACCATCCCATGTTTAAACAATGGTCTATCTGACACAAACGACGAAGATACAAAGGGACATCTCCACTAGGTTTATAAGGTGAATAATGGTTGATGCAAAAGTCCAAAGAACAAATGAAACATATGAAGATAACGAACGGCATTCCAGATCAAAAATCCAAAAAACAATAATAAATAGTAACAGATCAAGTACGGACCTCCAAAATAACAGAGGTTTGGTCAGGTGCCATTGAGGAGTGAGCATCCCCTGCCGACCAGTCACACCCGCTGTGTGCTCCTTGTCATGGTCGGGAAATAACAGAAAAATCCGTCGTCAATTCAGTGTATAAATAATGGACTAACAATTACTTTAAAAGGCTCACCAAGATATATTGTATCGACATAAGAATGAAAATTACCATCGTTAATTGAAAATACGTCTTCGATAAATCTCAATGTCGAGTTGAAGGCCACAACAAGTGTTTGCACGTATGAGATAGGTCTGCCAATAAAGGGGTGCAATTGGTACCCATTATAATTCTAAAAGATTGTTGGAAGACATCTCCAAATACAAATTGTCAATCAGAAACTCAAGCATCTTTTTTATGTCAACTTCAGAGAACTTGTAATCTGCTTTATTGGAATATTATAACAGAAAAGCTAATATATAGGAGTACAATTAGGGCCCATTCGAATTCCAACAGTTTATTGAAAGACTTGGTATCCGAAAACTACATATAAAGTGTTTACAATGAGGAATACAGCAGCTGTTGAAATTTCCGGTGGAGACTTGCAAATTTTGTCCTATGTGACATGGGCCATTGAGCAGATTTAGATCTTTTTGCTGCCAGCACCTACTGCGACACGAGACCTCGGTTTATTCGATCTCATCTGAAGGTCCGCTCTTCACGTCCCACAGTGGGATTCGAACCCGCGATGTAAGGATTGACGACTTACTTCGCGACTCTATAGCAGATGCTTTCAACACTGCGCCACGCGGGCGACGAAAAAAAGGAAAAGTTGAATTCATCACATACAAAACGTTTATTAATCCGACTTAGTTGTAAGTTGGCCCTCATCATCAATAGTCAGTAGAAATCTACATACAAAACAGATTTTGAGATCTTTGGTATCTTTTATTTGAAGTTAACTGGGAAACAGTGTATATATTTTTCGATACAGAATTTAAGAAACTATTATTGAGAAAACATCGTCGATAGGAAGGCCACAATAACTGTTTTCTTCTCAAAAATGTTTATAAACAAAATGCAAAAGAGCAGTTACAAGGACATTGACACCTTTAATGGAAATAAAACTCTTAATGACAATAGGGTCAAGAATGCGACAATATGAACACCAGTAGAGGAGGAACTTCAAGAAGGAATGTACAATACCCTTGAGAAGTGTTGATAATCAAAAAATGATATATCCAATCAAAGTCTAGAAAAATTCAAATCCAAAATAAATAACATATTAAAAAAAAAAAAATAATACAGTTCAAATAAAATATAAGTCAATACCTATCAATTAACTTTACGCTATTATTGTACTCGAAAACTTTTACAAGTCCATTTTCATTTCCCACCCTAAGGTTTGATTTGAACAAAGAAATTGAGGTGGGAAAGTTAACTTCATTTTCATTCAGTAAATACTTCAAAATTTCTCCGTCGGGACTCAGTAGATGAATTCGTTCGTTGTATCGGTCGGACACAAGAATGTAACAGAGAGAATCGCAGGCCACATCAAAAGGTAAAAAATTCCACCTCAATTTCTGTCCACTATAGATGGATCTGAGATGTCCAGCAGAAGACAAAATAACAAGGTTCCCTTTAGTTCTGCTTGTCCAGTTAACAACACAGATGTCCGAGTTACCATTTTGTGCAACTTTGACTGGTAGAGTAAACAGCTTTGTTTTACCGTCAGAAGTGTACTCGTATTCTCGGATAGTGTCACCAGTGAGCGAAACGTGTCTCACCAAACGTCTGCTGTCTGAATCTGAATTCATCCACTGTGTTGTGTTGTCGTTCAATGTCACCAGGAGACCTCCACTTCTTTGACTACATACCCCTCCTGGTAACAGTGGATCTGTTCTAAGGACAACAGAAACAGATCCTGAAGGAGAGAGGCGAGCGATGGACCTGTTATCAACATCAGTATAGTATACACTGTTTCTACTCACACATAAGTCATTGGGTTTTATCTTGAATTCTTTTTTCTGCTGGCCTTTTTTATTGATTAGTTTGGTGTGATCAGAGTGGTGAAATTTTATATAGATATCATCGTCAGTAAATGACTCCAACATTAGTACAGTGCTATGTCCATACTGGAAAGATCCTATTTCATTGGCAATGACCTCATCTGTATCAATAATCTTTCCAACCATACATTTCAGTTGCTTATCACTTATTTTTCCTCTTCTAAATCTCTTTCGTTGTTCACATCTCTTCATATCAACATCAAAACCGGACATCAGTTCCGTAAGTTCTTTGTGGTTCTCAAAGAAGCTGTAGTCTGACATAGTACCGCTGCTCTCCTCCATAAATTTTACCAGATCAAGAAGTTGTTTCTTCTTCATTTCTAACTGTGATTTCAAGCGATTTATTTGTTCATTTTGCACTTCCAGACTGTCTCTAAGAGTTTGTTCGTGTTTCTTCTTGATTTCTTCGAGTCTCGTTATGATTTCCTCGTGATGCCTCTGCATAAATTGTATATCCACGTCACATTGCCGTTTACTTTCTATATTTTGTGACACAAGCTTCTCTATTTTGTTATTAATCTCTGGTATTTCATTCTTTCTAATTCTGTTGAGATAAATATGAAGGCCTCTCCTTATTTCACCGACTACCATCGAAAATGTTTCCCAGTTATGATTGCTGTGGTCTGATTTTGCACACTTGGAACAAATGAATTTGTCACAAGCATCACAAAACATATTGTAACGAAACCGAGGGTATCGTGTAATAAACTCGTGGGCCGCTATTGGGTTTTTTTCTGGTCACTTGGTTGAGGTTTGATACTTCCGTTGGTCACAGTTTATATAACGGTTAATAACCAATTTTTGGTCACTTAATTGGTTAACAGAATGACCAACTTTTGGTCACTTCTTTGGTTGACGTAATGACCAACTTTTGGTCACTTATTTGGTTGACGTAATGACCAATTTTTGGTCACTTAATAGGTTGACGTAATGACCAAATTTTGGTCACTTTAAACAATGTTTCTTAGGAATAACACTTGTTAAAAGTTGATAACATTTATTAAGACGATCAAATGGTTCACTTATAAACACACAAAATGGTACACTGTAACTTGGTTGGTACAACGTTATTTGGTTAACAAAAAGGTGACCAACCGATGGTCAATCCAGGACGTTCCTAATAACTTGGTTCCCTTAATGGTTTCGTATACATAGACTTGGTACCGTCTTATAACCGAAGTATACGGAGTCGTTCCCCAAAGTGACTTAGGTCACTTTTCCCTTACCAGGGAAGGCTGTGTTCTGTCGCTCCCCACAGCCGACTGAAGTCTAAACCCAAAACAGCTGGTTTATATAGACAAAAGTTGTTATGATGACGTAAGAGACAATCAGATACCTAACTTACGTCACAATCAATACAATCAATAAGTTAGCGGGTTTTGACCAACAAAATTACCTATTAAATTAATAACGTTGTATCCATATAAAACATACAAAATACATCACTTTCTCTTTAAATTATACAAGTTAAGTTAATAAAGTCATATTAAATCAATTAGTGTTCATTTCTTTCGTTAACTATTCATTGACAAATATTTACGTAGTTTATAAACATCGGGTTCAGGGTCCATTTTTTCCGAACTTGTAAACAAGAGTTAACCCGAATTTCACAGGTACACTTCGTGAAACGTAACATTACCCCCTTCTTAAGTCGAAACGTCCTCGTTTCGGGGTATTTTATCAATAACTAATACAAGTTCACTGGTAATGTCTTTCAAGATACGCGTTACACGGACATAATGTCATCTGCTTCACCACAAAACAGCTTCATCTGGTCATGATTCACATATTTTGGTTTCTCGGCTGTAGACTTTCTCACTTTGAATACCGAATCGGACACGGCACTTAACACTGTGTAAGGTCCATTCCAATGAACCTTAAGTTTAGGACATCTTCCTTTGGTCCTTGACTTTGACGAAATCCACACACATTGTCCTGGGGTGTACTTAATCTGGTTTGACTTGGTGCCATACTTTCGTTTCTGGTTCTCTGTTGCTTCTATCCATCGGGTGCAATAATCTGAACTGGTAACAACATCCTTGTTACCCTTCTTGGTCCGTGGTAAAGGACCAAGGATGTCGTTGGCCACTTGTTCCAGTGGTTCCCTAGCTAAACATTGACCCGGTTTTCCTCCGACTTCCCTTGGTTGATTCTTCTTTGAGTCACCAACGGTACAGTGTCTGAAATGTTTCTCAGCGTCGTTTGTCTCCTTCTCGTCACGAGGTTCACATAGTTGTCGGTCATCATTATCATGGTGTAAAGCTTCTTGTACGCAAATTTTGAACACAGGATTGTGTTCACTCTTAAGGTCACATGGTAATTTATTCTTTCCCAATGTAAGAGTTCCTTCACCCAAATTCAATTGACAATTATGCTGTTTCAGAAAATCAAGACCTAAAATCATATCTGACTCAACGTCAGCGACGATCACTTTATGTTCGGTAACTTCCTCATCAATACAAATTTGAAGTTCAGTCTGACCTTCTGGTACAACTAAATCACCGTTGGCCATTTGTAAGTTACTACAGTTTGGAAATAATTTAGGTCTCACACATCTTTCTATCGCGTAATATTTCTTTGGGTGGATAACTGTTATAACTGAACCCGTGTCAATGACACAATTAATTTTCACATTGTTAACAAGCACATCAATTGTTAATAAGTTAGTACTGCGAGTATTTGAGTTCTTTATTCCAAAAACATGTGGCCTTTTCTGCTTTGTAGTTGACGTTAGGCCGCCGACGTCAACTACTGTGCGTTTTCCTGGTTCTCAGGTTCTCTGGTCGTCACGTCTTTTACGTATTCTGGTTTTCTTTGGTTTCTGTATTTTTCATTTTTTAGGTGCCGTTGTAGTAACCTGCATTCTCTTTTGATATGACCATCTTTCTTACAATAGAAACAGGGACCTTTCTTGTAAAACTTCTTCTCTGTGTTTTGGTTGATCATGGCTACTAGGTCTGTTTCATAATTATTTCTGTCGGTATGCGCTGGTTCCTCTGTCTGCATACGCACTGCAACTTTATTTCGTCTCCCCCGTGCTTGTTGAAAGGCCTCATACTCCAATGCCAGTCGCACTGCGTCTTCTAGGTCTGTAGGTTTTCCTTGAAACACTGCCCATTCCATTTCTTGGTCATTTAAACTTCCGATGAACGAATCTTTGGTTATCTGGTCGCGGAAACTTAGGGGTGCGTTCGGGTATGACATCCTCGTAAGTCGCTTTATGTCTTGCTTTAATTCTGTGATCGTTTCGTTTTTCTTCCGTATTCTGCTCTTTAGTTGCGTCTTATAGATTTCTGTTTGGTTTTCTGGGTCAAATCTTGCTGCTAGTGCGGTAACAAGGTGACGAAAATTATACCGATATTCTGGTTGTAGGTCACTCAAAACGCTTAGTGCTGGGCCGCGTAGACTGGTAGCTAACTCTAATGCCTTTGTTTCCTCATTCCAGTGGTTCAATTGGGCGATCATGTCGAAATGCACTATATAGTCGTTCCAGTTCATGGTACCATCGAACGTTGCTGGTTTTCTCCCTTTAGGTTCCGGGGTACGCCTGAATCCGTGGTCATGGACTTGTCTTGTGTGACCATAATTTGGTACATCGTAATCAAAGCTGCACATGGTCGGCTGAAATTCGTTGGTCCTAGCATTGGTAGTGTAACTTCGTGGTAACGTCGGGTTTGACCAACTTGTCCTAGTATGTTCGTAATCACGAAAGTCTTCATACGCATTTTGTAGAGAAGTATTTCTGTATGGTCGATGTTCACTGTGTATTTGGTCATCTTTGGACGTAGTACTGGTACCGGATTGAACGCAATTTTGGTCTACATATTGGTTGTTACCACTCGTTGGTCTCACTTGAGATTCTAATTGGTTCATTTGGGACTTCAAAGTTTTTAATTCTTGTAGAATTATGTGTAGACTGTCGTTGGTACATGCGTTGACTGCGCTGCCGTCTCCTATCTGGTCGTTGTTATTAACCCGCAAAAGAACTTCTTTGCTTGGAGTACCGTCGATAAACTGTGGTTCTTTTGGTTCTGTATTATGGTCACTTTCCTCCACCAATTTTTCGTTCCTTGACATCTTTGTAATGGTTTATGTTCACAATTCACAGAATAGCGGATCCCACCGCTGCCACCAATGTAACGAAACCGAGGGTATCGTGTAATAAACTCGTGGGCCGCTATTGGTTTTTTTTTTTGGTCACTTGGTTGAGGTTTGATACTTCCGTTGGTCACAGTTTATATAATGGTTAATAACCAATTTTTGGTCACTTAATTGGTTAACAGAATGACCAACTTTTGGTCACTTCTTTGGTTGACGTAATGACCAACTTTTGGTCACTTATTTGGTTGACGTAATGACCAATTTTTGGTCACTTAATAGGTTGACGTAATGACCAAATTTTGGTCACTTTAAACAATGTTTCTTAGGAATAACACTTGTTAAAAGTTGATAACATTTATTAAGACGATCAAATGGTTCACTTATAAACACACAAAATGGTACACTGTAACTTGGTTGGTACAACGTTATTTGGTTAACAAAAAGGTGACCAACCGATGGTCAATCCAGGACGTTCCTAATAACTTGGTTCCCTTAATGGTTTCGTATACATAGACTTGGTACCGTCTTATAACCGAAGTATACGGAGTCGTTCCCCAAAGTGACTTAGGTCACTTTTCCCTTACCAGGGAAGGCTGTGTTCTCCGAGTCGCTCCCCACAGCCGACTGAAGTCTAAACCCAAAACAGCTGGTTTATATAGACAAAAGTTGTTATGATGACGTAAGAGACAATCAGATACCTAACTTACGTCACAATCAATACAATCAATAAGTTAGCGGGTTTTGACCAACAAAATTACCTATTAAATTAATAACGTTGTATCCATATAAAACATACAAAATACATCACTTTCTCTTTAAATTATACAAGTTAAGTTAATAAAGTCATATTAAATCAATTAGTGTTCATTTCTTTCGTTAACTATTCATTGACAAATATTTACGTAGTTTATAAACATCGGGTTCAGGGTCCATTTTTTCCGAGCTTGTAAACAAGAGTTAACCCGAATTTCACAGGTACACTTCGTGAAACGTAACAATATCTATACGTACACTGTGTTCATTACAAACCGGGATGTGTTCCTGAGGTGATCCAACGGTGTCTTTTGTATCATCAGCCATTGTTTTGTTTATGTTGAAAATTTCATTAATTTTAACTCAGCTACAACTATTTGTGATTTAATGTGTTTGATCGGTACCAACTTATAGCAAGTTTACCCAATGGTTTTTAAGATTAAACAATTACCCGAATTTAAACTACATCCTTTGTAACAAGACAATGAATTCAACATTGTTCAATCACCACCGGCCCATTAAGGTATTGTGCAGTCATAAGCCTGCATAACAATCATTACACCCCTATCCTGTGTCTGCAAAAATTCCCCTCCTTAACAAATTGTAAAATTTCAGTCGATGACAATCTAGGACAGCTGTACATGCTTTCAGAAATCAAATATTCGGCGTGCAAATAAATAAAATTAAGATGCAGGACATATACATTGTATTACATTATAAATATTAAAAATTACAACAATAGTCATGAGTTTCTGACTATACTCAAAAAGCACTTTAAACATAATAGAAAAGCATCAACAGTAAGAATTATTTTTGAAAAATGATCGTAAGTTCAGCTTACTTCGTTTGTGAGATAGCGCTGTACAAAATGGAAGTGAAAAAGTTGCATTGGGATCGATATGTTTTTTGTAAGGGAATGTTGCGCCTTGTGATGTTCTTTTTTTCATTCAAAGCTTTTTTTTCCATTTTTGACAATATTTATAGTTTTTCTAGCGTTTTAAAACCTTACAACAAAAAATGAAATTAGCAGTGTCTAGGACATCTGAACTTAATTCTTCAACGTGTTCATGTTCTACAATGAAATATATATAAAACAAGATAACGAACAGTATTGAAGTTCAGCACTCCATAAAACAATACAAAATAGGAGCAGGGCAAACACAGACCTCCAAAACATCAGAGGTGGGATCAGGTACCATGGAGGAGTGAGCTACCCCTGCTGACCGGTAACACCCGCTGTGTGCTCCTTGTCATGATCGGGAAATAACGGGAAATCCATCGTCAATTCAGTGAATAAATAATGGACTAACAATTAGTATGAAAAAGGTCTGTAAACATTTGACTCAATGATTAATTGTATTTGCTGGCAGTTCATTGTATCGACCATATATCTTACAAAAGGATGACTTTGAATGAGACTTCTGATATTCTTGTTTCATCAACTTGTTTGTCAATATTTAGTTCGCGAATATTAATAACGCTAACCATTAATTTTGCTAAGCATTTGTAAAGAATTTTTTCTCAGTCGCAGAAACTAATCTTCGCGGATTGATTTTTAATTGACGAATAGTGAATAAAATATGACGCGAATAATAGTGGGTTTGCAGTAATTAACCTCGTTTTAGAAATTGTACATACTTAGAGCATGCTCTTGCCTATCGAATCAACTGAGATCTATAAACTCTGCATGCATGTGATGAAAGTAAATTGCTGCATAAGTAAGGGAAGTTGATGATTGACGTTTATCAAACAGCTTGGTTGTTGAATTGTCATTATTTAACGTCTTTTTCAAGTAAAATATCCAAATATGAAACAGATGTGTCAGACTCTGTGGTATCTTTTATCTCAAGCTCACTCTGTGGTATCTTTTATCTCAAGCTCACCGGGATATATTGTATCTATATAAAAATGAAAATAACCATTTTAACTGACAATATACCGTCGATATAACTCAGTGTCGAATAAAAGGTCACAGCCTTTAAAAATGTTTTCTTCTTTTCATCCGTAAGATTTTTGACAAATTCTGATTTATATGAATACACAAATAGGTCTGCTAACAACAGGGCGCAATTGGTGCCCATGGAGACCTCCTGGTCTCAAAATACTGGACGTGTTATTACTCGCACGTGACGTAAATATAGTTTATGACTTTCAATCACTTATTATTAGAGGGCCAAAGATTAGGAAACCCCAATTTTCACAACTGGAGTAATAATTTCATAAACATTATGAATTTTATAGACTACGCCATTCATTCCCGAATTTACAATTAAATAAAGCATTTTATTGTATACTAGTAAATATAATAATTATATATGTATTTACTTTGCATGCTACTACTTGTTTATTTGATATTTGGGATCGATTTTTTGGACCACAAACAAAAAAGATACAATGTACATGAATTCGGGTTATTTTTCTCTATATGATTAGTTGGTGTACATTGCAGCAATCCAGAACGAAAGCCTCTAGATGCAGACTAACGAAAATGTTCCCGTGCTTCTAAATTTAAATACTTTGACAAGTCCTTTAGTATTCCCGACCCAAAGTGAAGAACCATACAATGATATTGAAGTTGGAAAATTAACATCATTTTCTGTCAGCAAGTATTTGAGGAACTCCCCGTCAGGACTCAAGATATGAATCCTATGGTTAAGCGTATCACTTACAAGAATATTAAAGTAGGAGTCACACACCACTCCGTTTGGCTTAAGGGTACTTACCACAAACAAAAAATGGATGCGCGGGTTGATATATATTTTTTGACTGATTTTGATTTGTATTGATATAAATAATCAATCCCTGAAATATAAAGAAAGCGTAGATTTTCCTTGGTGCTTAGATTTGAGATTTTATTTTGCCTTCTATATAATTCCATACAAAATTTTGCACAATTTTTTAACTTTATGACAAAATCTAATAAAATTTTCCCACTCTACTCGGTAAACATTATTCAGGTTGTCAATTTAAATGTAAATCTATGAGAAATAATGCTGATTTCTGAAAAAAGTTTGTTTGTGTTATTTATCCTTAAAGTATCTTGACATGTTCTGTCCACGATAGACAGACTTAGTTCGACCGGAGAAAGACAAGAGAACTAGGTCACCCGTCTTATCACCTGACTGGTTTACAACACAGATGTCTCTATTCCCATTCTGAGCAATACTGGTTGGTTGGACAAAAATCCTGGTCCGACCATCCTCCTGGTATTCATAATCATGGATGAGATCACCATTCATCTTCAGGTGTCTGACCAAACGTCTTCTGCATGGTTGTAATTCAAATGTATCTGATAATTCATCTGTCAGCGTGACCAGGAGTCCCCCATCCAAAGATAAGCAGATTTCTCCAGGCGTTAAGGGTTTAGTGCTGACTATTGTAGAAAGATATCCATATGGAGACAGACTCGAGATGCATTTGTTCTTATAGTCTGTGTAATAAATACAATCATCAGCTTTTACACACACATCTTTGGCATTTATTCCGGATTCGTATTTCTCATTACCTGCTATGTTGACTTTTCTGATTTTTGACGTCATAGAACGAATGTAACAACAATCCTCACTGATTGCCTCAAGAATGAACACTGCATTATTTCCAGGTTGAAATGAGTTTGTTTCAGTAGCATTAATGCAGTTTAATTTCAAAGTGTGTCCAATGATAGATTCCAGTACGTCATCATTTATTTCCCCTCTCATGTATCTCGCAGAGTATTCACAATTCTCTACTTTGAAATCCAAGTCAGTCATTATTCGCTTCAGTTCTCTGTTGTTGGCGATCAAGTTGTAATCTGACATAAAACATGCATTCTTCTCCATCAATTCCATGTGTTTGACCAATTCCTTTCTTGCCGTATTGAATTTTAATATTATACTATTTCCTTGCTGGTTATTTTTGGTCAGATTTTCTCTCAACGTTTGTTCATGGCGCATCTTGATCTCTGTCAACCTTTCTATGGTCTGCTCATAATGTCTTTGCAATTTGTCCATATCCAGTGCACACTGAATTTCATTTTCATTCACTTTAATTGATATTTTTTCAATATTTTTATCAGACTCTGGTAGCTCTTCTTCCTTTATCTTCGTGATGTACCCCAACAGATCTCTCCTTCTTTGACTTGCCACCGTGGCCAAAGTGTCCCAGTCGTGGTTTTTGTGATCCGTTTTTGAAC